AGCAGCCCCCACGAGTGTGTGCAGCGATGATTACAGTGCGGGCTGTGCAGACTCCCTGCGGCCCCCACAGAGCGCCCACCGGTGGAGCCCCCCCCCTTTGATCTATCACTGAGCAGGCCAATGTGTAACACACTGCAGCATGAGAGCTCCTTACAAATGACATGGCCCAATTTAAATCAAGAGGACAGACCGTTCCGTGACACTCAATGTCATGTGACATTAGCCTTTTCACCTGGAAACAGAAGGATTAGGGAAAATGTTCTCAAAGATCCCTTCCCGCATAAATTCTAGAAATTAACAATGGAAAGAAGCTGAGGGGAGGAGACCATTTTTTCCCTTTCACCCTCCACACAGCTCAGGAGGGCAGGAGACAGCTCCCTCCCTGCTGCAGAGTCGGAACTGACTCCTAGCTGCCCCTCTAGAGACTTCGCAGAGGCTGTAAATCACACGGAGGGGACGGCCCATCACAGCTGGCTGCGGAATCGGAACAGTCGGCCTTGGGGATGGCAGCACAGATCCTTACTCACTGGCCACCAGAGGTCCCGAAGGACAGGAGGAGACCAAAGAGCTGGTGCCCGGCTGGCTGAGGTGTGAACCTTGGAACAGTCACTTCACACATTACATACAATCTGACACCCTTACCCCTCACTGCTTGCAGGAAAAATTCCAAGTTGAGTACCAGGAGGACTTGTAAAAGGAATCCTGTAACCATCCCTGGCCTCTGGTCTTAAAGAAGTTGCTTTACAACCACAGGCTTTATAGAGTCAGTATTTTACTCTGTAACATGGAAGAATTGTATTCTCAACTGCCGTTCTAAAACACTGACCAATAAGAAAAGGGAAGGGATATGTACTCCTGACGTCTCCTCGCCACATCAACACACAGCAAGGGCTGACTGGCCAGGGCTCAAGCGCTTCCTGGCCACTGACCACGGGCTCAGTGCACTGCTGCATGTAGGATGTTTCTTTGAGAAAATGGTTAAAAGCTGGTTGTTGAGATGACAAATTGCTATGGGATGTGATTGGTCTCAAAAGGTCACAGAGGGGGAGAAAAATATTGACTGCATTTTTGTGCAAATAACATATGTATTATACAGTTTATTCAGGTCCCTCATGCACTGTTTCCCATGGATGCCACATGTGCCGTCACTGTTACGTGCCATCAAGTCGAACCTGACCCACAGCGGGCCCTTCAGTGGGTTTTCAGAGGCAGTAAGTCACATGGGAGGACACTACCGATCCTTCTCTCATGGGGCACCTAGGGGATTTGAACCGCGTGCCTTTGGGATTGCAGCACAGCTTCTTCCCACTAGGCCACCAGAGCTTCTGTGTGTGGTATGCATATTATTTACACAATGCACTCTCTGAGAAAACACAGGCAGCCAGAGGGCTCCTTAGAGGCACAGGTAAAGTGAGCTCACTGTGTACTTTGGACACGTTATCTGAAGGGACCAGTCCCTGGAGAGGGACATCGTGCTTGATAAAGTAGACTGTCAAGGAGAAGAGGAAGCCCTTCGCTGACATGGAATGACACGGTGGCTCACGTCCAGCAACAAGTGTGCGGCCAGCGCAGGAGCACCTGGTGGTTTTGCCTGCGGTTCACGGTGGCTCCAGGCTGGATTCGACCCAACGGCACTTAAGAACAGCACAGATTACCTCCCACCCCATGCGTCTTCTCAGGTGAAGACTCACCTTTCAGACTGGCCCTGCTGGCCGGCCTCCCCACGCTGTTCCTCTGGTGCTTGGCTGACATGCGCTTCATCTGGCGGGGCGTGCTGGGCGGAGAGGTGCTGTACAGATTTTCTGAGTTGGTCTCGTCTGGAAAGTCCTCCAGGTCGGACTCGGAAGTCTTGCTCGCTGCATCTCCCATCCCGCACTCTTGCCTGTGAAAGACAGACGGTGGAGAGAAGAGTCGGTAAGGCGAGCACCACTCACCATGCAGACTCCTCTGGACGGATTCTGCCCCCTTCCTCCTCGGGGTGTGCTCTCCCCAGCACTGCAACGCCCCTGTGAACCTCAGGAGGTGCGGGTGGTGGGTGCCGTACCATGACAGGCGGGCTTGTCTGAGGGTGGGACTGAAAGAAATTATCCTAGGAACAACAAGAACAACTTAACAGAAAGGAAATCTAAAACTCAGAACTTGTGAATTTTTTTTAAAAGAGAGCAAATGTTTGGAAGATACAAATCAGACAGACTTAAAAATGCACATGTTGGCTGGATGCAGACAGGCTTATCTGATGAGCGGGCAGGTCCAGCCCTGTCCTGAGCCTCAGAGTCTGGGACGTCTCCTTGGAAGCAGAGGCCCACGAGCGCTGGCAAAGCCAGGGCGCTGGGCAGTGGTACCTTCTGGACTAGCACACATCCCAGACGAGGTGGGGGCATCCCAGACAAGGTGGGGGTCACCCCGGACAAGCTGGGGGGCACCACCAGGGAGGAGCACTATTCACACGTCAATGCCTCACCCACCGGTTCTCTGGGAAGACATGAAACCCCTTCTCCAGCTCCAGCCAACATCTAGAAGCCTTGATGACCTAGGAGGTCATGTGCTGGGCTTCTAGTTGAAAGGTCAGTGATTTGAAACGGTCTCCAGGGGACAAAGACAGGCAGTTTCCTGCTGTAAAGATTTACAGCCTCGGAAACCCAATGCAGATCGTCAATCACGAACCACAATCTGCAGCTCTGGGTCTGGTGTTTTAGTCGGCTTCTCAAATAACACCACTATTTTCATAAAGTGCTATTTTGACAGAGTCAACAAGAGAAAAGGTAATGTGACATATGGAAAAGAAACAAAGTCTAAAAGAACAAACAAAGAAAGCAACAGTGAAACCCATCCCTTCCACAGAACAAGCGTTTCATGGCCTTCGACTTCACAGAGGATATGCCTATTAGAAATACTTCCACTTTACACATATGTAACTTCAAACTGTATCCAGGACACAATCAGCTTTCACCCTGGTTATTTTTATCCTGCAATAAGACCACAACTCTTTCAAAACCAGGAGGGAAAAAGAAAACCATTGTAAGAGAGCCTGGCAACACTGGTCCCGAATCAGACTGAAGACAAAGCTGCAGCTGTCACCTTTCCAAAGTGACAATTCTGTGGGCTTACAGGACTCCACGGCGCTGACATCTGGAAAACCCCGTCACGCAACAAAAAGGGGCTTTAAGTCAGACAAGACTGCTGCACAGGCGTGTGTACCTGCAAGGCAAAGAAGTGCCCTAGCTCAACGTTAACTGACGCGAACCACGAACAAAGTCAGAGTGCTCTGACTGTATTTCATTCCTTAAACCTGTCACATTTATGACTCAAGTATTATAAATATGTTATAAAACAAAGAACACAGTTTACAGATTAACTTTTACAAGAACTTTCTTACGACCATTTATTCTATACTCACTGCTAAGCAGTGGATTCAGATGATTAAAGGACGTTGCTAAAAATCTCAAGTGCACGTGTGTCATTTCCTCAGAGATGGTAATAAAACGTGTGTTAGAGGTCAACAGCAAAGGCCTAGAGGCCTCAGGTGGCACAGATGGTTAATGTACTCAGCTGCGAACCAAGAAAGTCGGTGGTTCAAGTCCAAGGTGCTATGGAAGAAAGGCCTGGCTATCTACTCGAGAACAAGCAGCCTGCTAAAGCACTGTGCAGTGTGACCCTGCTCTAATACACAGGGTCACAGGAGTCAAAATCTACAATACAGCAAGCAGAGGTGGTATCACAGACTCTGGAATGACTGAGGACACACGATTTCTGATGGAACGCGCCTGTGTTCACATCCTCACTTTGCTGACTACTAGCTGAGAGAACTTCGATCACTGATGGGGCTTCTCCACCTCGCTCACCTACAAAATAAGCACAATATGCACTGAGACGAGACGTATTCACAGAGTAAGCCCAGCGGTGTCTGAGTCACACAAGGAGGGTCTCCCCATGACTGCCAGGGTCACTGTGGTGGCCCTGAGGTCCTGGAAGTCGCTGCTCTTCCCTTACCTTCCCATGGCGGAGGCAAGCATTCATGAGGTCAGCCCTGAATAGATGGATCATCTGATACCCTCCAATTCAGTGTTAAAGTTATTTTTCATTTCTCCACTCAGCAGGACTTCATACTTTATGACTGTTCTCTCTCCAATAAACAGCCCTGGTGGCATGGAGGATTGAGTGGTGGGATGCTAACCAAAAAGCCAGTGGTTCAAATCCATCAGCAGCTGCTTGGGAGGAAGCCATGGCAGCCACTCAAGGAAGGACTGCAGCCACGGGAACCCCACGGAACACCCTCTATCCCATCTCGTGGCCCGCAGGGAGGCAGAATCACCACCAGGGCAGTGAGCTGGGCCTGGTTCTCCAAGTCTCCAGCACAGAGTTCCAGTATGTTCAGTGCATTTCCACAACAACGTGCTTCAAATACTAGGATGACCATCACTGCAGCACGGGTGTTCAGGTGGTTAAGTAACTGCAGGCCGGGCAGGCGGGAACAGAAAAGGCAGCAGGACGTGGAGTCAGATGGGAAGTGAGATTAGACTCAGTACAAGGCTCTGCAGCTGGAAAGGAGGCATGGGGACCAGAGTGGGAGGGGACGGAGAGGGCACACAAGAGTACGGGAGGGGGAGGAGGAGGAGGAACACGGGGGTGAGAGAACTGGGCTGGGAGTGGGCAGGGAGGGGGAACAGGGTGGAAGAGGGAACAGGGTGGCAGAGAGAGTGGTGTGGGAGGGGATGGGGCGCGAGGAGAGGGGAAGAGGGTGGAAGAGGGAACAAGGGTGGGTGGGAGAGCTAGGGTGGGAGGGGACAGGTGGGGGGGAGGAAGAGGGCGGCAGTGGGAACTCAGGTGGGAGGGGGCTAGGTGGGCAGCGTGGCCAGCACAGCCTTGCTGTGCAGGACAGCTGTGAGCTACTGTGTCACTCAGGGAGAATGACTAAGAGTGGGCCAGGTCTACACTCTAAAATGTTTCAGGAAATTGCACCGCTAAGATTAAATACACAAAATCAAACAAACAAACAAAAACAAACTATCAAGCACAAGCTCACTGGCACTGGGTGGCTTCTGACCCCTCCACTGGGTGCCAAAGTTAACATTAGAAGGTGAGAAGTTATCTACCTTTCTCCCTCAGAAGCACCAATGGATTCGACACTTGTAGTCTGTAGGACTGTGGCACAGCTTCCCGTCACTAGGCCATGTTGTGGGACACTTGGCTGTGGGGCTCCTGAACCACCAAACAGGCACACAAAACTGCAGGTTTCTCGCATGTCAGCTAGGACGGTGAAGATGAGTGAATGAAGGAGTCACCGAGGAAGCGTGGAAGGTTCTTCTGCAGAGGGACTGAGGCGCCCAGACTTCAGTGACCCGCCTCCATGAACATCAGACTCCCTGACTGGGACACTGAGTGTTTAAAATAAATTCATAAATAACCCTGTCTGATCTGCAGATAGCAGAAATGAGATCTATACTTTAGCAGACCAAACAGGGTTTTGCAAAGAAGACAAGAATTAACTTTTATAAAGAATTTAAGTTGGCAAAGCAAGAATAGTTGGATTTTGGGTTTTGTTTTTTGGTGGGTTTTTTGTTTGTTTGTTGGTTTGTTTTTTTTCCGCGTCCTTTAATGTCTTCTAAGTGTGGACAAATCATTTGTCCATACATGGAAAATAGTTATTTGGCTGCTTTTCACTGGTTAAGCAGACAAGTCAGTCTGCTTTTTTCTAACATTTCAACATGTTTTATCTCATTTTCAAATCTGGATCTTCTACACCAAAAAAGCCATCTTATTCTTTATCCCTTCAGGTGTTACGTGCTATCAAGTCAGAACCAACCCTAACTGTCCCTCCAGCAGGTTTGAGAGGCACTTAAAATGGGAGGAGATTGCCCAGCCTTCTCCCACGGAGCAGCTGGTATATTCTAACCGTGTACCTTTGAGATTGCAGCACACTTTCTTATCACTATGCCACCAAACCACCTTTTTTTCAGAGACAATGAAAATGTCATGGGTTTCAAAGTGTTTCCAAACTATTTAATAGTTCTTGGCACCCACTTCCTTAACAACACGCCTCTGGAAACTCTATGAACTCTGATAAATGTCGATAGTTAAAGAAAAGCTTCAGGCATTTTGTTCCTAGGGTCGTTATGAGTCATGTTCGACTCGAAGAAAATCAACAGCAACAACAATATTACAAATATTATAGAACAACACTGAAGTTAAGGATGAACATAAACAATATTTTAAAATACAATGAAACATGAGACATACTTCACCCTCCCGCGCCATTCTTTATCACAGAAAATGAAGATAAAAAATCCAACCTAAATGCCCATCAACAAACGAATGGGTAGAGAAGCTGTGGTATATTCACACAATGGAATACTATGCTGCATTGAACAAGGAACTCATGCAATATTATTCAAAATGAGTGACCCTGGAGGACA